GAGGAGACGGAAGCACAGACTGAGACGGACGAGGTGGACTAGAACAAAGTAAGGCAGTACGAAGGTCAGTGAAGGGAACAGGAGACGAGGGACGAGCACGAGGGGAGCGACGAGCAGCCCAAGAACGAGACGGAGGAGGAGAGGACAAAGGCGGAGAACTGGAGAAAACAGCGGGGGAGGAGTCAGGCGGAGGAAACGTGGGACCGTAGACAGGAGGAGAGGCGAAGGAGGGAGGAGAAGGGGAGGGGAGACCAAGGGCCCGAAGACCCGAGACAGGAGGAGGAAGTGGCTGCTGCTGCTGCTGCTGCGACTGCTGCTGCTGCGGACGCGGCTGCTGCTGGGACTGCTGCTCCTGCGGGTCCAGCTGCTGCTGCTGCTGCTGCTGCTGCTCCTGCGGCTCCAGCTGCTGCTGCTGCTCCTCCAGCCGCTGTAACTCCCTCTCCTCTCTCTCCAACGCCAGCTGCTCGTCACGGGCACGGCGAACACGAGCCTGGTGCCTAGTCGGGTAGGGGTGGGGGGGCGGAGTAGTGTCCGAAGCAGCGGTAGCTCCAGAGTCCACCCCCGAAGAACCAGGCGCACCACCCCCAGAGGCAGCACTAACACCAGCTCCAGACCCAGGCTCACCAGAACCCGAAGGAGGCGCACTCTCACCCCCAGTGTCCGCGCGGCCAGCACCAGCTCCCGGACGACAAGAGTCCTCTGCACCCACCGGGTCAGCTCCAACTCCAGAACCAGAAACTCCAGCTCCAACTCCAGCACCCCCAGAACCAGAAACTCCTTTGCCTCCTCCAGCTCCACCTCCTGCTCCAACACCAGCTCCACCTACAGCTCCAACACCAGCTCCAACACCAGCACCCCCAGAACCAGAAACCGGTACAGGAACAGGCGCAGCACCAACCTCTCGAGAGCTAGCACCAGCGGCACGCTGCGAGGAGGACTGTGGGGAGGGAGGCTGTACCGGAGGGGCTACCGAAGGAGGAGGGGTAGCCTGGGACACACCTGACGGGGCTGGGCCAGGGGGGGGAGGCTGTACCGGGGGAGCAGGAGGGGGAGCGGCAGTCAGGAAGAGGGGGGGAGGAGGAACCGGGAGACCTCGACTGGGGTACCTGACGTAGTACGGAGTGGACTCCTCGAAACGGACGTCACGGGAGTCAAAGAACCGGTGAGAGGGAGGGTGGTAAAAGGTGAAGTCAGAGGAGTCCTCAGGGAAACCAAGGAAGACACAGGGGACGGCACGAGGCGAGAGCTTGTCCGCGGAGGTGTCGCGGACAAGAGCCAAGCACCCCCAGACACGAAACCGCGACGCAACACCAGGGGACCCTGTCCAAAGACTGGTCGGTGAAACCTCTGGTCGAGAGACACGTGGCCAGAGGTTCAGCTGGTGCGCGGCGTACCTGACCGCGTAGGGCCACAGAAAATGGGGGGCACAGGCGTGAGTCAGGGAGGCGCGGGCGATCTCCATGACCAGGCCTATGCGGCGCTCAGCAACCCCATTCTGCTGTGGGGACTCTGGAAGCGTCCAGGACTGACGAATGCCCTGCTCGCGACAGAATCCAGCGAGAATGCCGGAGCGAAACTCACCCCCACGGTCGGAGTGGAGACAGCTGACACGACGACCACGAGTGTCCTCGGTGGTGAGCAACCACCTGATCAGCGTAGAATTCACCTCAGACTTCTTCGCCAGAGGGAACACTGTGGTGTAGCGGGAGAAGTCGTCAACGACCACCAGAAAGTAACGCTCACGCGCAGGGCCTAGACGAGGGGCGGGGCCCCAGACGTCCAAGTGAAGCGTCTCAAAAGGCTCGGTGGCCGGACGAAGGGAGGAGGAGTGAGGGGTGGCGCGCAGCCTACCCTCGACGCAGGGACGACACGGCGGCGCAAGCGAAGGCGGCAGCGACGGCAAGACACGTGGGAGGCAGACTAGGACAAGACGCTGACTAGACATAGCGCGCAGACGAGGAAGGGACGGGTGCCCCATCCGGTGGTGCCACAGAACGGTGGGGTGGGCAAGCGACCGGCAGGAGCACGACGCAGCGACTGGAACAGACGTAGGAACCTGACACGACATAGACACCTGGGGGGACGAAGCAACCTGGTGAGACGCGGGGACCCGAACGGGGGGGGGGAACCGGGGGCAATGGCAGTAGGTGGGGCTGCTGGTGCGGCCGCTGGTGCTGCTGCTGCTGCTGCTGCTGCTGCTGCTGCTGCTGCTGTGGCTGCGGCTGCTGCTGCTGCTGCGGCTGCTGCTGCGGCGCACGCGGGCCAGTGTGAAGAGTGTAGAGACCCGAGCCCGGCTCAGCAGTAAAGGTAGCAAGAGGCTGGTAAGAGTCTCCGTCAACACACACCGCAGTCTCTCCAGAAGGCTCAAACCACACACCCACGTGCTGACTCACGAGGGGTCAAGAACGAGGGGACGTGAAACCCAGTGAGAGACCCGGAGGGAGCAGCAGGACACGGTAAAGTGGTAGTGTGACGTGCAGTGACTGGTCTCGTAGTGGGATCAGCCAACGCTACAGAAACAGGCGCACGAAGTGGTGTAAGTGTCGTGCTGTCCCGGAAGAAGCAGTGGGAGGCTCCAGAGTCCAGTGGGAACGACAGCGAAGCGTCGTCTGAGGTAGTCGCTGGTCTAGAGTCTACACAAGTACCTACACTAGCAACAGGCAACTGAGCAAGACTAGCACCTAAGCTAACAACACCAGAGTAAACAGAGTCAGAAACACTAGAGTCAACAACAGCATACATAGCATGAGGAGCACTAATCAGATCAACTAACTGCTCAGCAGACATGCCCCACAGAGCGGAGCCGTAGCGCTGAACCAGAGGAAGCCAGTCAGGAGCAGGACCGCCAACCCCGTAGGTCAACCGGACCGTGTCAGTGAGCTGAGCAAAGCACTGACCAGGGGGGTGAAAGCGGCCACAAGGGTGGCCCCGACGAGGACCTGTCTGAACCTGGTAGGGGCAGGGAGGGTAAGCCGCACCGCGCTGGGGCTCACGCAGCCCCGACCCCGGAGCCAGCTGCTGACGCTGCTGCTGCTGAGGCTGCTGGGAGGAAAGGGGCTGCTGCTGCTGCTGAAGGTGCTGCTGACGCTGAGCCTGGTACCACGCCGCTGCTCCACCTAGCGGGGCCGGCAGTACAGGAGGCGACTGACGAGCTCGGGGGTCGCCGCCACCAGCAGGTGCAGTGGAGTCACCAGCCGCTGCACGAGGGGTCTCTCTAGACGCTGCACTCCCACCACCGCCAGTCGCAACAGCACCCCCACTACCTCCGCTACCTCCGCCTCCACCTCCACCAGAACCACCTTTCTTGCCCCCCCTGCCGCGGGACCGCGATGCAGTCGTAACAGCAGCCGCAGTCGCGTCAGTAGCGGCAGTGGCAAGAGAGGCAGTGAAGGTGGGTAACTGCGGGACTGTGCACCCGTGGAAGAGTGGGGGGGACACAGTACCAGAGGCGGCAGCTACCGAACGAAGGTTGCTCTCGACGTCCTTGAGTGCAGACTCAAGGACCTCGATAGTCAGCTCACTAGGGTGCTTCAGCAGAAGCGCGTCACGAACGGAGGCTAGGCGGTCAGGGAGGCTAGTGGCGATGAAATAGACAGTGATCGCCATGGGGGGAGGAAGCTGTGCAAGCTGTGCCTCAGTGCAAGCAGCGCGGTAACTAGCGTCGAGCGAGCGGAGGTGAGCGATCAAGTCAGCAGAGCGCTCAAACGAGGCAAGATCAGGAAACAGGAACGGGAGGAAAAGACGGCCAAGAGAGACAGTAGCGGGAGTAGAGTAGCGGGCCTTAATCGCAGTGAGGTACGCAGCAGCGGTGCGAACCTGAGTAAAGTGGACCTCCTCAGACTCAGGGAGGAGGCTGCTGAATGCGATGCAGGCCGCAGCGTCACGCGACGTCCAAGCCGTCCGGTCAGCGCGCTGACGGGCAAAGCGAGCCGTAGCAGCGTCGTCAGGAGCAGGGCCTAAAGCTGTAGGCTCGGGGGGCTCGGGGAGGTCACCAGTAGCGTGTGACCAGAGGGTCTCGCCCCCTTGGACCTGACTCTCTAACAGGCGGCGAGCGCGAAGAAGCTAGACGGAAAAGTCAAGTGGTCTACCGTCAGCGTCGAAACGAAGAACTCGCGGAGTCGCCATAGTGAGAACTAAAGCGAACGAACAGGCGAGTAAGAACCGGGGGGGAAGAGGACTCAGTTGCAGCGGAAGAGCGGGCTAGGGCGACGGACGGGCCAGGACGTAGGGAGGGCAACGGGCCAGAGCCTAGGGTAGGGCGACGGGCCAGGGCCTAGGGTAGGGCGACTGGCCAGGGCTTAGGGTAGGGCGACGGGCCAGGGCTTAGGGAGGGCGACGGGCCAGGGCCTAGGGTAGGGCGACGCGACGGGGGAAAGGGCGGGAGCGACGCGACGGGGCAGGGCGACGCGACGGCACAGGGCGACGCGACGGGGCAGGGCGGCGCGACGGGGCAGGGCGACGGGACGGGGCAGGGCGACGCGACGGGGTAGGGTGACGCGACGGGACAGGGCGACGGGACGGGGGGGGAACAGGCGGGCACGACGCGACGGGGGGAACGGGCGCGACGCGACGGGGGGGAAAGGGCGTGACGCGACGGGGGGAAAGGGCGCGACGCGACGGGGGGGAGGGGAAAGGGCGCGAGGCGACGGGGAGAAAGGGCGCTAAGCGACGGGGGAAAGGGCGCTAGGCTCGGTACTAGGCGCGGTAACAACGGAACTGGTACGAACGAGAGGTAGGATCAGGCTCGGGAGGTACGAACGGAGAACGGAGGATCGGGATCCCACAGGATCCTAACCTAGCTGATACCATGTCAGAATGAGGAATGAATGGTTCCATTGATGTTGGTTGGGGTACATATAACAAACCCTAACTTCTGTACCCCCTAAGACAAACCTCACTACAGGCTACAACATTTGACACTGGAATCCGTGGCATTCAATCCTCTTCCAGCTAATGTAGTATATGCACAAGAGCAGTGAGTCAGTGAACGGTTGTTTGCTCTACTCCGCTTCCTTCACAGCATCCTGGGCAAAACCAGGTAAAAGAGGAAAAGCAGTAACACAACGGTTACACGGATATAATGCGCAGTGTAGCTAATGAATGGACAGTACAGCACATCACTACTTCTGGGACAGCTCAAAAGGCTACAGCAGCTTCAATAGTAACAGTGGGCACAGTACAAAGAGCTGACGACTGGAAAGGAAGATTACTGCAAGGTAGAAACTCTTTAAATGGGCAGTGCTATGCGTAAACTCCACCCAACCCCTTACCTGCACGATTTTGGTGATATAAGTGGCGGCAAAGGCTGTGAGGGCCACCCCACCCAGCAGCGAATAGAGCGATGAGTCGCCCAGCAATGAACTCCCACTCTCCGCCTCCTGAGAGAGAGAGAAAAAAACCGGCAAATAGGTCTATTTTGAGGCGCCTAAGAACCGTGCCAAGAGTTGAGTCCCCCAGCAATGAGCTTCCACTCTCCACCTCTTAGATTGTGAGAATGGAAGGCAGGGAGGGATGGGTTTGATAAACGGGGAGGACGGGGGGGAGAGGGGGGTCGGCCAAGGAGACAAACAGCAGTGGTAAGCGGTGTTTGTAGTGTCCATGCCATCATACCGAATGGTTACTAAACTTGGAAGTAGATGAAGGTCTGGCTTGAAGAATCACAGAAAGCAACACTCTGATGAATGTGGACACAAAGGGAAGTCATGATGAAGTAACCCAGAAGAAGATGCATCATAAGAGGACCTCACGATCAAAGGGAGGCGTACCAAAAGGGAGCGGCCAAAGGATCCGGCGCTGACATACGCCCACGTGCCTGGCAGCATGCCTATCCACCTGGCGTGTGGTAACAGGGCAACACGGAGACAAAGTCGTAAGGTGAGGGGGTTACCCTTTGGACCGACACAAAAGGGGTAAAAAGCTGACAAAATCCCCTGTGCCATGCACCCTGTGCCGATCCACCTGGGATCAAGAAGCCGTCCAGAGATGACCCGTGCCCGTGTGCCACTTCAGAAACAGCACATGGATACGAGAGACCAGAGGCATGGTGCAGAGGTGATGCAGAGAGAGGGGCTAAGGGAGAGGGGCGAATGGAGAGGGGTGAAGCAGAGAGGGGCAAAGGGAGAGGGGTGATGCAGGGAGAGGGGTGATGCAGGGAGAGGGGTGATGCAGGGAGAGGGGTGATGCAGGGAGAGGGGTGATGCAGGGAGAGGGGTGATGCAGGGAGAGGGGTGATGCAGGGAGAGGGGTGATGCAGGGAGAAGGGTGATGCAGGGAGAAGGGTGATGCAGGGAGAGGGGTGATGCAGGGAGAAGGGTGATGCAGGGAGAAGGGTGACGTAGGGAGAGAGGTGATTCGACAAACCTACAGCAACATGCGAGACAATCTGCACGAGGACATACGTTCCGAAGATGAATGGAAGAAGTTGGAAATGAGCCCATAGAAGTAGTTCCCGAGGGAGAACGGCATGAGGGGGCTGAGGCGCAGCAGAGTGACGATGGGATTGTGGTGATGCGTACAACAGTCCAAACAAGTCCACATTAAAACATACGTTCCGAAAATGTATGGGAGAAGCTTCACGGAAGTGAGCCCGTAAAAGTAGTTCCCGAGGGAGAAGGGCATGAGGGGGCTGAGGCGCAGCAGAGTGACGATGCGGAACGAGTTGTTCCCCACTGCGCGGTCGATCGCCTCGTACTTCTTGTTGCCTCGCACCATATCTTGAATGCGATCGCGCGCCACATACCGCGCAATCAGGAACGCGATTGTGGCGGAGATCTGGCGCACGCGGGGAAGCGGCGGAAGGGGGATGATGGGGGGGGGGGGGGGGGGGGGAGAGGGGGAGAGTGAGCGAGAGAAGGTGTTAAGCGGAGAAAGTTGAGGAGATGGACAGTCGGAAGGAGGAGAACAGGAAGGAGGCAAAAGCAGACCAGTTTTGTGTGTGTCCCATACGAATGTCCGTTTCGAGTCAATCCTAACGGCCGAGAAAGGTCAGGGACGGCATCGCGGAGGAGCGACTGAGGGGCATTCACGTACACGCAAGCAAGACCCATCAACCGACTACCAACAAACATCCCTGTACCATCACACCCGCAAGAAAAACACCCCGCGCGTTACAGTCACGCACCGTGCCGGAGAGACTGCAGAGAAACGTGCCCATGACCGGGCCGAACAGCACACCGGCGGACAGCGTCAGCGGAATAGCCGGAACCGCGAGCACCTCGAGAAGCGAGTACCCTAGCACGAACGTCACATATCCCCCGGATCCCGCTCCCTCGATGTACGTTGTGAAGTAGTCAATCGCGCTGGAAATGTCGTCCTTATAGTAATATCCCAGTAGCGCAAGTGACGCGACGACGCTTACTATCAATGCTCCCGCGGCCAGCGTGCCGCCGATCGCGGCTTCCTTGCTTACAACCTCGTCCGAGTCGGATTCCACGTCAGCTGCCACGTCAGTTGCCACGTCACCAGACTTTTCAATCGCCACGTCAGCAGGCTGTGAGTGGGTCGGTATTGTCAGCGAGAATTCGGGAGAGGCATTCGCGTCTGCTTCTTGATGGGTGGAGTCGGGATTCACTCGATGAGCAGTCGCGTTTTGACGTGACTCCAGAATCACGTCATGCGGGAAGACTCCATGGTTGTCCTCGTTATAAGAGGCGTCATGGAAAGGTTTTATGAGCTTGACGCCGTTAGGGACATCCCAGAGTCTGTCAGACTCATGTCGTTTCCGTTCCTTTTGAAGAGCACACCGAACCGAGCTGTACCGAGCTGGATTGCTCCTAACCAATCGGTTCTGCGTATTTCTGGCATGAAACGGCGAAAGGCTTTGCCAGGCTGAAACGCATCGTTCACGGCGATAGTCAGTTCTGTGGGGTAGTCTGATAGCCGTGACATCGGAGAGGGCTTGTGGTGAACTGTGTGACTGTACGAGGGAGCGATGTGCTGCAAAAGGAGTCCGCAAGGCGGTTGTGGCTACTCCCGTCGCCATGGTTACTGCTCGCGTTGAAGCTCAAGGCGAGGAGCTTAAGAACACACACGCGCAGCGCAACGAGCGGCTTCCGATCGAAACAGCCGCGACACGACGCAGCGGAAAGCGATCGGTTTCTGAGGCACGTCTTAAGGTTGTCGCTAGATACACAATCGCCAATCCGGAGGGTGCTCAACCCTACAAGCGAAAGGCAAGGAGCTCTGAAGCTTTGGATTGCTGCAAGCTGTTATGCTCCACCAAGACCAAGCTGGAGAGAACGCCTCGCCAGCACGCGCTCCGCCGAAGAAAATAATCAAGAACTGCGGGACTGAAACTTTCTACCCTTTCCGTCAGTCACGGCTGGGAAAGGGGTAGGGCGCGAGGATTCGGCGGTGGTCGGAGCGATGTGGGTGAATATAGGAGTGACGAAAGGGATTCCCCGAGAAAAAATGGGAACGTCGATCTTGGAGTGGTGAGTTTCGGCTGCCTCCGAGTGGGGAGGTGATGGTTCGTAATCCTCGAGGAGATGTTAGTGAGCGCTGGATGTGCTTGCAAGGTGTACAGTTGGGTGCTCCTTCGGGAATATACTCAGTTGTATGTGCACTGAGCTCAACGGAGGGTTGAGATTCGGCGAAGCGACCAGCAGATTCCCTCGAGGCGGAAACGAACGGATACGATGTGAAACGAAAGATGAACTTTCATGAAGCATTGGTGGATTTGTGTACACCCCGCGACCCCCCACCCCAGCGTGTGATGATGATGATGTGTTTGTGCGATCAGCGATGGCTGAAACCAACACACGCGCGAGGTGTGTGAGGGACGAAAGCGAAGCGAATAGCGTGGCACGAGGTCTCAAAAGACGGGGACTGACAGCCAACCATGTGCTTTCGAGCGCTGTGCGGATGAAAATGGAGGACCACGTGGCAACGAGTCATTGCCCCATGCACACGCTATGTTGTCGATGCTTCTTGACACACGGTGTCAAGTGGTCAACGCTGCGTCTGTTTCGTTTCGTGCTGACGCGTAACGGGTCATCGATGGTGGTCGAAGACCATCAGAGGTGCACACTTGGCCTTTTCTACGAGCCTGTCGTGTGGAAAAAGGAGGTCACCATTAGCACCACGCCACGTCGGCGCAGGATCGACATTGGAAAGGGAATCGTTGGTGGCTTGAGATTCCATGTCCGCGGATCGTGGGGCTGGTTTGGAATGGGGCTGGCCGATATCCTTCCCGAGCATCCATTGGTGAAAGTGATTGTCGGCTAATCAGAAAGTGCAATACCGAGATTTTTCCAACACATCAAGATACTGATGAAAGGTTGAGATTGAAAGTTCACAACAACAGCAAAGCCTGATTCCTCATAATGTCCCCAACGCAATCATATGCTATATCAAAATGTGGTACAGAAAATGTAACGCTGCTGATCCAGAACATTGAGAGGCTGTCTGTATACCTCTGTTGCCACACCAGTCCAACGTAACCCACAACTACTGGAACCAACGACCCACCTGGTATTGCTCCTGTTGCTCCTGCGGCTTTGCATCCACCTGGTCCTCTTGCTTAGCAATCTTCGGGCCTTTAAACCACCGGTGAGCGTCAAGAAACCACCATAGAAGAAACACAGCCACCACCACCACAATACCTACGGCAGCATAGTTGAAATTCTCCGCCGTTACGGGATACTCGGTCGGGATAACGAAGACAACCATGGTGTAGACTACGTATGTGAGAGCCAGGATGTGGACGCATTTGCTGGAAGTGGGGGATAAGGGGAAGGATGAAGAAAAAGGAGGATTAATGGAGTGGCATAAGTGAAGGAGTAAAAGGGGAGGGGTATAAGAGAAGCAGATGAATCGGAAGGGGTGTAACGCAAGGGGAGGGGGGATATACATCCTTCACTTCACCATCCCTCGCCCCCTTGCTTTTCCTCATCCCCCCTCTCTTTCCCCCTCTCCCCCTCTTTCCCCTCTCTTCCAATCAGTATCTCTTCCTCTTCCCCACCCTTCCCTCCTCATCCACCCGTGTGCCCGACGTAGTTGGGCAGATAGAACGGCCCCTTCTGGATGAACAAAGTCTTTGTCCGACTGGAAGACAGCACCCTTATCGCTCCTTTCCCTCCCTCCCCTCCCTTGCCCGCACCCCTCTGCCCGCGCTCACCCGCCCGTGTGCCCAATGTAGTTGGGCAGAAAGAAGGGCCCCAGAACGAAGTCCTTATTGGATTGGAAAATTCGAAAGAAGACCGGCACTCCGTACGCGCCGAACCACCCCACGGTGGCCATGCCCGTGACGGCAAAGTGGGTGACAGACAGACTCCCCCAAACAGAAGCGCAAGGAGTGAAACACCCACCATTCCCCTCCTCTTCCCCTCCTTCCCCTCTGTCTGCTACCGCCCCCTCTGTCTCCAAACCACCCCTACCTCCCGCCCCTGCTCACCCGCCCGTGTGTCCGATGTAGTTGGGAGAAGGGCCCCGGAGCAAAGTCCTTATCAGACTGGATGATCCGAAAGAACACCAGTACTCCGTATGCACCAAACCACCCCACGGTGGCCATGCCTGTGATGGCAAAGTAGGCCACGGAAAGAACCCGCCAAGCAGAAGCACGACGACTGAAACACCCAAAGAAACCACCCGTCCCTCCTCCTTCCTATCCTCCCCTCTCTCCTCCCTCTTACCCGCCCGTGTGCCCGATGTAGTTGGGAAGAAAGAAAGGCCCCGGAGCAAAGTCCTGATCAGACTGAATGATCCGAAAGAACACAGGCACTCCGTAAGCGCCGAACCACCCCACGGTGGCCATGCCTGTGACGGCAAAGTAGGCCACCGAGCCTCCGAGCAGCGGCATGAGGAAGATAATGGCGATGGCGCTGGTGCACGCTATGGCGTTCACCGGCACCTTGCTGGAGTTCACTCGGCGCCAGAGAAAAGATAAAGGGAGCCCGCGGTCGCGAGACAAGGCGTAGCCCTGTAGGGGGGGGGGGGTTGAGAAGGACATGGGGGAGGAGAGGGACAGGGCGACGGGTGCTGCTGGTGCACACTATGGCGTTCACTGGCACCTTGCTGGAGTTCACTCGGCGCCAGAGAAAAGACAAAGGGAGACCCCTGTCCCGAGACAAGGCGTAGCCCTGGGGGAAAGCGGGTAGGGAAAGGGAGGGACGAGTTGAAGGTACTGCTGGTGCAGGCAATGGCGTTTCACTGGCACCTTGCTGGAGTTCACTTGGCACCTGTCGAGAGACAGGGCGTAGCCCTGTGGGGGTGGGGGGTGGATGGGGGCAGGAAGTCGATGGCACTGGTGCAGGCAATGGGGCATTCTTGAGAATTCTCAAAAACACCCTGCAGCAGGATGGGGGTAGGAAGTTGATGACACTGGTGCAGGCAATGGGGCATTCACTGGCACCTCGTGGGAGTTGACTCGCCGCCACAGGAAAGAGAGAGGCAGGCAGGCCCCTGTCGCAAGACAGGGCGTAGCCCTTGGGGAAGTGGGGAGAGGAGAGCAGGGAGACGAGGAGGTGAAATTAGCACTGGGAACGTGAACAAACCACACCGCACCACACCGCACCAAACCGCACAGCACACCACAATCCAACTCACCACACGGGCAGCAGCAAGGATGAGAGTGATGGTGGCGAAAAAGAAGGAGGTGAAGAAGAGACCCAGGAAGACACATGCACCCGCGCCACTGCCGAACCTGACAGGGAGAGAGATATAATGACAGGAAGGGAAGGCATGCACAGGAAGAAAATCATTAAATTAACCTTCAATTATTTACTATGGGAACCTTCATACAATCACCACCAACACACCTGCCTCCCCTCACACCTGTCCTGGTGGAACCCACCTGCCCTGGAACCCACCTGCCTTGGAACCCAACCCACCTGCCATAGAACACGTCCCAGAGAACCTGCACCTCTGTGCACTCCCTTGAAACGTCTGCAAACTCCCCACATATCACCTGCTCTGGGACCCAACCCACCTGCTCTGGGAAGGGAACCAACCCACCTGCCATAGAACACATCCCAGAGAATCTGCACCTCCGTGAAATCCCCGCCTGTCACCGTGTCCTTTGAAAGCAAGTTCTCCGGGTCCTGCATGTATGCACCAGCAGACACCCACGGTGAAATGGGAGCCAATTTTGAGACATCTCAAAAAGAGAACCTGCACCTCTGTAAAGTCCCCCCCTGTCAACGTGTCCTTTGAAAGGAAGTTCTCCGGGTCCTTCAGCCATGAGACTGGGCGAGCTGCAGCTTAGGAGAAGTCTCTTTTCGCATTTCCAAGACTTTTTGAGACGTCTCACTAAGAGAATCTGCACTTCTGCAAAGTCCCCAGCAGTCACGGAGTGATTTGAAAGCAGGTTCTCTGGGTCTGGGTCCTGCAGGCACGCAGGCACAGCGAAAGGGGAGAGGAACAAAGCGATGTGCGCACCCAAAAGGTCCGCCTTACCAAACACACACACACACACCTACCCACCTGGATGCAGAATGTGAGGGCCACAATGACGCCCCACTCCACAAAGCAGATGACCGAGAGGGCAGCTATCATCGCAAAGGGAGTCGTTACGTCAGACCGCTTCGCCTCTTCTGACGTGTGCGCTGCTGCATCGAATGCGTAGAGCGCGTATTGCGACATGAGGAGGCCGGCTACCACCGCGTAGGCCTGGGATGGGAACAACCAAGAAGGGAGCGAAGAGAAGGAACAGTTGAGTAGTTTTGCCTCTTGTGACGTGTGTGCCGCTGCATCGAATGCGTAGAGCGCGTACTGCGACATGAGCAGCCCAGCTACCACTGCGTAGGCCTGGGATGGGAACAACCAAAGAGAACGGAGTAAAAGGAGTGGTCTATATTGTTGTCTCTTCTCTCCTGACGTGTGTGCCGCTGCATCGAACGGGAGAATTGAGGGGAGAAACGGAAGGAAGAGCATCAAATGCGGAGAGGAGCGTGGATTGTTACTTGAGGTGTCAGTGGCGGACAGGTGGGCTGCGGAGGCCTTACTTCCATTCCATTCCATCAAATCTTGTTGTTCTTAGGACAAAGAGACAAACCCCACAGGATGCCTGCGTAGAGGAGCGTGGACTGTTGGTGTGACTTTTGAGAGGAGCGTGGACTGTTGGTGTGACTTTTGAGAGGAGCGTGGACTGTTGGTGTGACTTTTGAGAGGAGCGTGGACTGTTGGTGTGACTTTTGAGAGGAGCGTGGACTGTTGGTGTGACTTTTGAGAGGAGCGTGGACTGTTGGTGTGACCTTTGAGAGGAGCGTGGACTGTTGGTGTGACTTTTGAGAGGAGAGTGGACTGTTGGTGTGACTTTTGAGAGGAGCGTGTACTGTTGGTGTGACTTTTGAGAGGAGCGTGTACTGTTGGTGTGACTTTTGAGAATTCTCAGAAGTACTGTTACTTGAGGAGGCCTGCTGCTATTACTGTGTATACGTGAACACCAGGGCAGGGGGTGAGGAGAAATTCAGGAATTACGCTCACTGATGGGAACCCCCGGAGTTACCCAACAGGATGCTGCTTGTTTGTTTGTTTGTTTGTCTCTTCGCCGGGTAAATAAGTGGCAGAATTGGGCAACAACTCACCCCGTTGGGGATGCCTGTGATGTGATGTGAGTATTGCACCTCAAAGTGACCCAACAGAACACCCACGAGGCTGGCAGATGGGTTGGGTCATAAACACTGCAAGAACCATAATTACGTCTCCCACAGAAAGACTCACCCCGTTGGGGATGCCTGTGATGCTGTATTGCACCTCAAAGTGACCGAACACCCACGATGCTGGCTGGTGTGTCTTTGCAACAGCAGGGAGAGTAATTATAAACACGAAAGCCACTAGGATCTGGTGGGGCAAAGGGGGGGGAGCGGGAAGAAACAGGGAGAGGGAAGGGGGGTGCGGGGTGAACAAGAGCATGAGAGTGCGACAGCAGGGAGCGTGACTATGAACACGAATGCTTTTGAGACGTCTCAAAAGTCGAATGCCACTAGGAAATGGTGGACTAAAGGGAGTGGGAGCGGGAAGAAACAGGGAGATGAGGCGAGGGCGGAAGAGGATTATGAGTGTGAATGTGCCAGCAGAGAGAGTGATTACAAACACCAGTGCCACTAGGATTTGGTGAATGAGGGGGGGAGAGAAGAAACAGGGAGGGGGAAAAACAGGCAGGTGGCAGAGGGTGAAGAAGAGCGTGAGTGTGAATGCAACCACAGCAGGGAGAGTGATAATGAACACCAGTTCCACTGGGATCTGGTGAACGAGGGGGGAGAGAGAACGGTCCCTCACTTGCAGCACTCTCCCTACTGCCGGCACTTGCCCCACGCGCTTAATGGGAAGAAATTGGATGGGTGCACAGACCAGAAGGTGTGCGCTCATGGTTTTGAGGCGCATCAAAACTAAAATGTGTGCGCTCATGGGTTCATTGTCTTGCATACGTCACACCTGCACCACTCACGCACCCTCTCCTCTCTCACCCACTATCTCTCACCTGCAGCACTGTCGCCACGGCCAGCACTTACCCCACCACCTGCATGTACCATTCATCTACACTCATGCTCACCTGCAGCACTGCCCCCACGGCCAGCACTTGCCCCACGCGCTTGATGGGAAGCATGTCAATGGGGGCACTGTCGAGGATGATGGGTTATGGGCCAATCGGCATATACACGTCACACCTGCACCCCACTCTTTCGCAGTCCCTATCTCTCTCTCTCCTCACCTGCAGCACCGTTCCAATTGCCAGCACTTGCCCCACGCGCTTGATGGGAAGCACGTTGATGGCTGCACACATGAGAATGAGCGCCACACACGCTAGAAACTGCAGGTAGTCCGGGAAGGTGTATCCGCCACTGTTGGAGCCGCCTGGGGGAAAAGCAGGTGGAATGAACGGTATAGAAACAGATGGGGTGAGGATTAGGGGAAAAGAATGAGCGCCACCCGCGCTAGCCTAGTTAGGAACTGCAGGCAGTCTGGGAAGGTGTATCCGCCACCGTTGGAGCCGCCTGGGGGGCAAAGGGGAAGCAAAGGGGTCGATGGGGGAAGACATGTGGCACACACAGAATGAGCGCCACACAGAATGAGCGCCACACAGAATGAGCGCCACACAGGCTAGAAACAGCAGGTAGTCTGGGAAGTTGTATCCGCCACCGTTGCTGTCGCCTGCTGCGGTGGAAAAGCAGGTGGAATGAACGGTATAGAAACAGATGGGGATGGGGGAGAAAGAGTAAGAGCCACGCACGCTAGGAACTGCAGGTAGTCTGGGAAGTTGTATCCGCCACCGTACGAAGAAAAAGGACCGGCAGACGGTGGGGTGGTGGGGGGGAGTGTTAGTCGTAACCAGCCACCCAGCCACCCACCCAGCCAGCCAGTCAGCCAGCCAGTCAGCCAGCCAGCCAGCCAGCCACCCACCCACCCACCTGTGGCAAGCAGGACGAGCGACATGATCTGCTGGATGCCCCCAAACGCCACTCCGCCCACCCCCACTGACACCCCCACGAACTCCAACCAGCCCTGGGGATGCACGAGGGAGGTGGAGAGGAGAGGGAGGGATTGACGGGAGAGAGTGAGGGAAAAAGTAGATGTGACTCTTGAGTCGGCTCACTCATTCCCCCAAACGCCACTCCGCCCACCCCCACTGACAACCCCACGAACTCCAACCAGCCCTGGGGATGCACGAGGGAGGTGGAGAGGAGTGGGAGGGAGAGGTAAAATGAAATCTGATCTGAGGCGACTGAAAATGAAAATGGACCCCCAAGGGCACTCCTCCCTCCACAACAACCACCCATAATCTGTGCTTACAGCGATCCATCATCCATGCACAACCTCTATCTGTGCTTACAGCGATCCATCATCCATGCACAACCTCTATCTGTGCTTACAGCGATCCATCATCCATGCACAACCTCTATCTGTGCTTACAGCGATCCATCATCCATGCACAACCTCTATCTGTGCTTACAGCGATCCATCATCCATGCACAACCTCTATCTGTGCTTACAGCGATCCATCATCCATGCACAACCTCTATCTGTGCTTACAGCGATCCATCATCCATGCGGAGAGCAATGCCAAATCTCACCATGATGTATGGTGGTGCATGCATGCACAACCTCTATCTGTGCTTACAGTGATCCATGCTGCAAAGGGGCCGTACTTTGGGCCGGCGAGAGCAGCCGCCCAGAAATAGAGCGAGCCAGCTGTCTGTATAGGGCAATGGGGGAGGGGAGGGGGAGGGGTGGAGAGGTGTTTTGCGCAGTGCGGTTCCAAAAAGCAGCTGCCCAGAAATAGAGCGAGCCAGCTGTCTGTGTAGGGAGGGGAGTGAGGGAGGGGAGGGGGAGGGGTGGAGAGGAGTTTTGAGCGGTTCTAAAAAAGCAGCCTTTGTGTGGGCAGCCGCCCAGAAATAGAGCGAGCCAGCTGTCTGTGTAGGAGAGTGCGGGAGAGAGGGAGAAGGAGGTGCAGTAGAGAGATGAGGGTTGGGGGCGGAGAGGAGATTTGCGGTGTCCCAAGAAGCAGCCTCCCTGTGGAGCAGCCGCCCAGAAATAGAGCGAGCCAGCTGTCTGTAGACATGAGTGGGGGAGGGTTGGGAGGGGCAGAAACGGAGACGAGAGGAGGTTAGGTGAGGCGGAGATGAGATGAGGGGAGAGGAAGACGAGAGGAGGGGAGGAGGAAAGGAGAGGATGGGTGGGAGACGGGACGAGAAGGAAGGCAACGAAAAAGGCATGTGTGCATGTGTGTGTGTGTGTGTGTGTGTGTGTGTGTGTGTGTGTGTGTGTGTGTGTGTGTGTGTGTGCGAGTGTGTGTGTGTGTGTGTTTGTGAGTGAGAGTGAAAAGTGAGAGAGTATGTATTGGAACTCGGGTGCGAGTGTGTGAGTGAGAGTAAGAGGGAGTAAGCAGCTCACAGGGAAGGAGGAGGCGATTTCAGCAAAGGAGAGGGCGAGCAGGTGGGCAAAGAAGGCAGTGATCCACCAGAACCACACGCAGCACACCGGCCCGCCGTTCAGATACGCCGTGCTGCAAGCACAACACGAAACACGATAAGCACAAGAGGTGATGTGATGGGGGAGAATGAGGGCAGTGAAGGTCGAGCAGTGATCCACCAGAACCACACGCAGCACACCGCCCCGCCGTTCAGATACGCCGTGCTGCAATAACTGTGACATGCGTTTCTGGGGGGGGGGGAGGGGACTGAATTGGAAGGCGGGGTGTGAAGGGAAGTGGTGGTATTATAAGCAAGGTAAAGAAAGCAGTGAAGGAGAAGGGGGACGGCTATTGCAGGTGGTGATCTCCTAAGGCCTCAAGCAGCAGAGCAGAGAGCCCTAAATCCACCCCCCACTTTCCCCCCTGGCTTATGAGGCGCCTCTAAAGTCATAGCAGGCAACAGGAAGCAACAGGAAGCCCAAGCACGTCACGCACGTAACCATAGTAGGGGAGAATCCCAAGAATAGGCCCATGCGCTCACCCATGTCCTCGCACGTACGTACCCATAATAGGGGATCCCCAGGAACATGCCCACGCCACAGAACGCCACTGAGAACAGCTCGAACGAGTTCTGCAGACGAAAAAAGAAAGGGTTACATTGTTACAACATTTTCTTTTCAGTCGGGCCGGCTCAAAACAATTCCCCAGTGATACAAAAGTGTGGAGTTTCAAGGTCACCATGGGGCAAAGAAATCCTTTTGACGGTTCAGAAATCAGGATTGAGAAGTTTCAGGTTTGGGGTTAGCCGCCGCGGCAGCGGGCCGCAAAACGAAAACGGAAAACAGAGCGGCGCTTTACAGACAGGAAATTGACTGAATCGTGATAGAGGCGCTCTTTGACGCGTACGAAAAAAACGACGGGACGGAAATCGGAGGAAGTGGGAAACACAAGAAACAGGACAATCATGACCCGGTGGCGTCATTTCCTTCAAGGACGAAAATCAAGATAACTTGCGGTGTACGCGTTATAGAGTCGCACCATGGACCGCTGCAGGTCTTGCGTGTATCCGAGCTCCATTAGCCGTTTCTCTCCAGAATCGAGCTCCAACGTAAACAGCACGCCGTCGTCTAACATAATTTCCATAGTCTTAGCTTTCCCCTCCCCGGCCTCTCCGCCTTCCCCGCCTTCCGCTCCGCCAACGTGGATCCCCCCGTCTTCTTTCACCAGCGCAACCACCGCAGCCCCCTCGAAGGCGCAGCCTTCGCGGAAAAGCTCGTCTTCTTCTGACTGCACGATCGCCGATTCCGTCGTCGTCGACATAATGATGGGTGTAACAATTTTATGTCTAAATGGAAAATCGTACGGCAATTTCGGATTGAATATTGCTTTATGGTTTTTTTCAAGAAGGGGGAATAATGATCGGTTGATATAATCAGAGAGTAAGGAGTCGCGTCCGAGTTAGCGCCTCGAGGCGTACTGACAGAGTGCTAGTTTCCCGTGACTCGAAGGAAATTTTGAGTCGACAGCGACGCACTGAGCAAAAGTTAAGTTAGTGAGTCTGTTTGTTACATATGCATGCGACAATGCGGTCCAAGCGGCTCTAGATACTACGGCGTTCCCGAAAAAAACGATGAGTTTCGCGACGGGGAAAACGAGAGGGGGTTACGTTCGGGTTTCCGAAGCGCGCGGTCACGAGTCGACGGGTGTCGTTGCTAGACTAAGTTAGTACGTAGCACGGGCGGCTGCATTGCTCAGGACGACAAAGACGGGTCAACACGGTTCATAGAGATGATCTTAACATCCGTGACTTGAGTGTGAATTACTCACGGACGAGCAATTGCAAGTTAGAGAATCTACTATAAAATCGGCTCGAAGGATGCATTTTCCTGGAATAGTATTGCCTTTATCAGGCAGGGAGCCGAAGCCAGTCGTAGCTAGTAGCGCTGCGCAGCAGAGGGGAGGCAACCGTTAGAGCTTGGAGGTTTTGGTAGGAGGGAGGGAAGGGAAACTTTTGTTGAGCGAGTGGCATGGTTCGAGCATGTCCGCCAAAGCCGCACAGCAGCTAGAAACGGACAGCTCTTGGGCAGGTTCACTCCAAGATTTGGTAGGTTCCTGCAATTAGGGCGATCTTAGGGCGGGTCCAGCGCGTACGTTTTCCGTACATTACAGTTCATCCAGTACGGTAATCCGTATTGCGTCACGCTTTCAAACGGTGAAATTTCAAAACCATTGTGCACCGCCTGATATCTTTTCAAACCACTACGAATGAACTGTATAGTACCTGTAGACGTACGCGCTGGACCCGCCCTTAGAGCTCGCCCTCAAGAACCCACCTAACCACTTGAACATGTAACGAAATCTTCCTGAAACACACAGAACCGTATTAGTTCTCTGAGGGAAAGCGGTCATTATCACTGGTAGTTGCGGTACGGTGCAAACTGTCAGAGCTCGGTGCAACGTCCATACACCTCGGTGGGGCGTCACTTGGAAACGCCGCAACTAGACAAGGGGAAGGAGGAGAGGAGCATGTCGCTTTTCCATTTCGGTCAAGATTGAGCAGGTGATTTGAAAGCACTTAAAGAGTGTCCCTTGAAGAATACGGGGGCCACGGGGGGTGTTCTCAGAGTTGGAAGGCTCTGCCTTCAACGCTCATGAATCAACTGCCTCTACAGACTGCTACCAATTTTTCTCAGTGGCGCTTACTAAGTATAAATGTGTCCATGTTTATGGAACAGATGGTGGTTCCAACAAGCCTTACATAGCATGGAAAGTTTAAAAAATTTGACCTATGATTTCCAGGTCTGATCAAAAGCATGTCCAGTTGTGGCCCGGGGAGGGAGGGGAGCGGGGATGAGCGGTTGGTGGGAACTGTCACTCCACTCCGTTTTCATTCCCAGTGGTGCAGTTCGGTTCTTTGAGGCACATCAGTTCCTTTGTTTGACAGCGGTCTTGGGTGTAGCACCGCGCCTTTTCCATTTGTAAAAACACGATCAACAAAACACAGAACCGTGAGTTTTTACGTAGGTTTCAATATTTTTTCTCACAAGCTGGTGCCGCCTCCCTCCAACAACGCGTACAAACGACAGTCATCACCACCTGGAAGCTCCTGCCCTAGCCTCAGCAAACCAGATACGTGTCGATTATGGCGCTTCTAGCGGGTGCTCCACCCACGCTTATGCCTAATGTGGTTACATCACGAACATGCGCGACTGCCGTGTTACCATTCGCCTCACATTGCGCATCCATTAAATCTTATCGAGCCCATCTCACAACCTCCCGAAATCTCTCCCTCATTTCTCCACGAACCCCGCCTTTTCAACGACTCGCCTCGAGGTCCGAGCGTAGCCGAGCTGGTTTCGTGACCCGCGCTTCGGCGGACAGTTCGGCGGAGCGCAATTCCGAATCCTCAAGGACAGTGCGCGAGGGAGAGGAGCAGGCGGCGGGGGAAGAAGCGGAGGAGGAAGAGGAGGAGGATGAGGAAGTGGAGCTGGAAAAGTGCCATTTTGGCGGGAAAGAACTGGAGCGGTTCGTGAAAATCAACGAGGGCCAGTGGCGTGGCGCGTTTCTGGTGAGTTAGACGCACTAATGATGGTGAATCATCATGACAGAGATGTCAAAGGACAGACGGGCCGCGGCGTATGTTACGAGCGGAATTCTTGAGTCCGCTCAGAATCACTTTCACAAGTCAGGCTTACTCTTTTGAAAATAACTTGGGGGCTGCTGCTGCTGCTGCTGCTGCTGCTGCTGCTGCTGCTGCTGCTTGGGGGCTTTTAGGCACGGCTGTTGTATTGAGAACCCAAGGGCTGTTGTATTGAGAACCCAAGGGCTGTTGTATTGAGAACCCAAGGGCTGTTGTATTGAGAACCCAAGGGCACGGCTGTTGTATTGAGAACCCAAGGGCACGGCTGTTGTATTGAGAACCCAAGGGCACGGCTGTTGTATTGAGAACCCAAGGGCTGTAGCCTTCAAAGATGAGCCCACGGTTCTGTTTTAAACCTTCAGGCATGCCCACTGGGGTTGATGTTCGGGGTTTAAGTTTGGGTCTCAGTCTCGGATGAAGGTTTGGGGTTTAAGGCCTCGGGTTTATGTTTTGTTCAAGCTCATAGTACTTTGTCCTTCCCATTCATGCTCCCCAATCCCTCCCTCCTTTCTTTTTGCTTCAATCTCCTAATCTTAGCCCTTCCCCCCACCCACCTTCACCTCCGCTCCCCTTCTCCCCTTCAACCCCCCTTCACCTCCCCACCCCTTCTCTCCTTCTCCCCTTCAACCCCCCTTCACCCGCACAACGATTCTGAATGCCGCCTGATACACAGAGAGCCCACCCAACCGCCTTTCTTCTCCTCCCCCTTGCCTCTCCCCACCTTCCTTGCCCCTTCCCCCCCGCTTCCCCCTCTCTCCGCCCAACCCCCCCCTCCCCTCCCCTCCCCCCACCAGCACTACGATCTGAACGGCCGTCTGCTGCACAGAGTGCCCACCCGCCTCTCTGCTACAGCCTCTGGGCGGGGAGAGAACAGCTCCCTGCTACAGACGTGAGTCTCTGCTACAACTTCTAGACGTGGTAATTACTGCGTTTTGTTTCATTACTGAGCCTTAGGTCTCTCCGTTCCTCTGCACCTCTCACCACCCGCTGCCACCTCTCACCATTCCCCTCCCCTCCTCTCAGCTCCAGCCCAAGTCGATTATGCAGCAATCTTGTTCTCGCTCTCGCTCTCGCTCATAGAAGAACTGCTAGCAATTTTCGTCTCCTCTGCTCCTTGTTATCTTCCACCTCTCTTCATTCCCCCCCTCCCATTTTCTCACCATTCCTGTCCCCTCTTCTCACCATTCCCGTCCCCTCCTCTCACCATTCTTGTCCCTCTTCTCACCATTCTCCCTCCCTCCTCCTCAACAGGTTGAGTGTGAAGCAAGCGTGCACAAGTGGGGAGGAGGTGGGAGGGGAGGAATGGGTGGAAATCAAACTAGAGGAGGTCAACCGGATCACAGCAGCCAATCGCCTTCAGGCACGTGGCAGAGGACTTTTCACAATAGAGAATGATTAAGATGGCTGGCTCGTGTAATAAGAGTATTTTTGAGACGTCTCAAAAATAGAGAATGATTAAGATGGCTGGCTCGTGTAAAAAGAGTATTTTTGAGACGTCTCAAAAATAGAGAATGATTAAGATTGCTGGCTCGTGTAAAAAGAGTATTTTTGAGACGTCTCAAAAATAGAGAATGATTAAGATGGCTGGCTTGTGTGAAAAGAGTATTTTTGAGACGTCTCAAAAATAGAGAATGATTAAGATGGCTGGCTCGTGTAAAAATAGTATTTTTGAGACGTCTCAAAAATAGAGAATGATTAAGATGGCTGGCTCGCGATGATGCTTGGGCTGTCAGCTCGGTTTTGTCGGGTTGCTATGATGTGACACATCGTTGTGACATTGCAACCCGTGGGAGGCACATAGTACATTTTGCCTCTTCCTACCCTGCCCCTCATTTCCTCTACTCTCCTTACCCCGGCTGCCCATACCCCTCACTTCCCCTACCCCCACTCCCTATCCCCGCTGTATATCCACTCCACTCTGTCCCTCGACCCCATCCCTCACACAGTGAGGGCAGTCGCATGCCGCTCTTTCTTTTGCATTTCCACTCCCATCTCTCTGACATCCCATTCCATTTCCAATCCCATCTCTCTGACATCCCATTCCAGTTCCAATCCCATCTCTCTGACATCCCATTCCATTTCCAATCCCATCTCTCTGACTCCCCTCTCCTCTGTATGCAATTCAGGTCGCCTGGTTCCCAGACTACAGGGCATACGCGTTGAGCCACCAAACCGCAGAGGACTTAGTGAGGGCGCTGGCAGTGGGGGTGGTGGGAGCAGAGGCAGCAGATGCCGACGAAGCAGCAGAGGTCATCCGAGGGGTGAAGCTGCCGTCCCGCCGCCCGGCTCTCGTCAGCGAAACCTGCCTCTTCCTCTCCGAACCAGTTTCCGAAGCAGGTTCCGAACCAGGTTCCGAGCCTCCTGCCGAAGCAAGCTCAGAAGAAGATGTAACTTGGGGAAATCGGAGGGTGCGCACATTCCATGTGCTGGACTCCAAGGGAATGATCGACACCCTGGGAGTGTTTGTGGAGGAGAGGGAGGGAGCGGGTGAGGATGGTTCAGGGGCAACGACAGCCCATGCGAGAGAGTTATTGGAGGTGAGTCATTAAAAAGGGAGAGGGTGGGAGGGGGCGTGCATTCCATGTGTTTGACTCCAAGGGAATGATCGACACTCTGGGGGTGTTTGTGGAGGAGAGGGAAGCAGCGGGTGAAGCTGGTCCAGGCGCTACGCCACCCCGCTAGCGAGTCAAGATGGTCAAGATGGTCAACATGGTCAACATGGTGACGACAAGTCGGAGCACTTTAAGGCGTGTAACTTTTTTCCGAAGCGTCAAATGTCCGGACCAGCTTCTCAAACCGTACGGGCAGCGTCGGTTCGGAAGGTTTTAGACGTTTGTCCGGACGAGTCCCGTACGGACCTCTATGGTAGAACTTTTTTTGTGGCGAAAACGTGAACTGTAAACGAAATGATAACGACCTGTTACGCGACATGATTTTTGAATTCGCCCTCCAATGAAAGCGCACCAAAATGGGACGGTCCGAACTGCAACTGGACGCTGAACGGACGGAAATATCCGCCAGAAATGTCAAAAAGTGTCACATTCCGTCCGTACGCCAGCGACGTCGCCAAGGACCTCGCGAACAGCCATACGAATAGGGCCGAAAACAGTAACCACGTCTGTTGTCCGGACCATCCCAAGTACGGACCGTGGTTCGAAAAAAAGTTACACGCCCTTAGAGAGCTACTGGAGGTGAGTCAATGAAAGAGGAGAAGAGAAGGCGGGTTGTGCGTTACATGTGTTGGATTCAAAGGGAATGATCGACACTCTTGGGGTGTTTGTGGAGGGCAGCAGGAAAGGATCAAGTGAAGAAGGCACATGGGTCCATGGCAAAGAGTTGATGGAGGCGAGTCAATGAATGAAAGAGGAAGAGGTGGGTGCGAGCGTTCCATGTGCTGGACTCCAGGGGGACGATCGACACCCTTGGGGTGTTTTTGGAGGAGTGGGAGGGAGCGGGGGTGAAGCTGGGTCATCCCAGAACCCAGGGGCAACGGCAGCCCATGCGAGAGGGCTTCGGGAGGTGAGCCTATGAAAAATCGGTGGGTGTCTTTTGAGGCGCCTCAAAAGTGGATTCTGTTCCATGTGCTGAGGTTTAGGGCAATGATTGACACTCTGGGGGTGTTTTTGGAGGAGTGGGAGAAAGCGGGTGAAGCTGGGTCAGGCGCAACAACAGCCCATGCCAGAGAATTATTGGGAGGTGATTCAGTGAAAAGGGAGAGGGTGGGTGAGAGCTTTCCATGTGTTGGACTCCCAAGGGGATGATCGACACCCTTTGGGGTGTTTTTGGAGGAGTGGGAGGGGAATGAAGAAGATGGTCCAAGGGCAACAGCAGCAGCCCATGTCAGAGAGCTTCTGGAGGTGAGTCAGTGGTGGTTGCGAGCTTTCCATGAGGGCAACGGCAGCCCATGCCAGAGAGCTTCTGGAGGTGAGCGAATTACTTTTGAAAGGAGAGGTAGGGTGCGCGGGTTCCATGTGTTGGACTCAAAGGGGATGCATCCACAAAGGACACGCTGGGGGTGTTTGTGGGAGGGGAATGGAGAAGGAGCGGGTCAAGATAGTCAAGATAGTCAAGAAAGTCAACATGGTCAGGTCATATTGGCCCGCTCCGAGCATGGGCCAAGGGGTCATCTTCACATGTTGGCCCGCTCCGAGCATGGGCCAAGGGGTCATCTTCACATGTTGGCCCATGCCTGCCAGAGAGTTGCTGGAGGTGAGTCAGTGAAAAAGGAACAGCTGGGGTCGTTTATTTCGTGCACATCCACCACCCACCGGTCTTCAGTTGTTCCCTTCCTTCTCCCCTCCCTCTGCCCTCCGGTCCTCTTCCTGCTTTTCTGGCGCAACCCGACCCGCTCGCTGCCCTGATCCCCCCCCCCTCCCGCCTGGCTCTACTGCTGGGCGAGTGGGACGGCACTTCAACACCCACCGGTCAAGCACTCACCATCCCTACATTGCTCCCTTTCCCCCACTTCCGCCCTTATCCCTCCACCCTCCCTCCTCACCAGACGCAACCAGACGACCCCAGCGCCCTGATCCCCCCTTCCCGCCTGGCTCTGCTGCTGGGGGAATGGGATGGCACCTGCACCACCCACCAATCAATCACCACCCTTTTCCTCCCCACTCCATATTGGAGTGACTTTTGAGACTTCTCAAAAGTCACCACCCACCAATCAATCACCACCCTTTTCCTCCCCACTCCCCACTCCCTTCTCCTCGCCAGGCGCAACCAGACCCCACCAACGCCCCGATCCCCCACTCCCGCCTTTCACTACTGCTGGGCGAGTGGGACGGCACCTCCACCACCCACCGATCGGCCATCTATGGGGAAACCGTCACCCACTCCACCTCCAACTTCTTCCTCACTCGCTTCAGCGACAGCAGCCTGGGCCTGGTGAGTCACCCTCTGCCCTCCATCCTCCATCTCCATTCCACGATCACCCACCGGTCAGCCATCTATGGGGAGACCGTCACCCACTCCACCTCCAACTTCTTCCTCACTCGCTTCAGCGACAGCAGCCTGGGCCTGGTGAGTCACCCTCTGCCCTCCATCCTCCATCTCCATTCCACGATCACCCACCGGTCAGCCATCTATGGGGAGACCGTCACCCACTCCACCTCCAACTTCTTCCTCACTCTCTTCAGCGACAGCAGCCTGGGCCTGGTGAGTCACCCTCTGCCCTCCATCCTCCATCTCCATTCCACGATCACCCACCGGTCAGCCATCTATGGGGAGATCGTCACCCACTCCACCTCCAACTTCTTCCTCACTCTCTTCAGTGATGCGAGCCTGGGCCTGGTGAGTCAACTTTTGAGTTGACTCAGGAGCCTGGGCCTGGTGAGTCAACTTTTGAGTTGACTCAGGAGCCTGGGCCTGGTGAGTCAACTTTTGAGTCGACTCAGGAGCCTGGGCCTGGTGAGTCAACTTTTGAGTCGACTCAGGAGCCTGGGCCTGGTGAGTCAACTTTTGAGTCGACTCAGGAGCCTGGGCCTGGTGAGTCAACTTTTGAGTCGACTCAGGAGCCTGGGCCTGGTGAGTCAACTTTTGAGTCGACTCAGGAGCCTGGGCCTGGTGAGTCAACTTTTGAGTCGACTCACTCAGGAGCCTGGGCCTGGTGAGTCAACTTTTGAGTCGACTCAGGAGCCTGGGCCTGGTGAGTCAACTTTTGAGTCGACTCAGGAGCCTGGGCCTGGTGAGTCAACTTTTGAGTCGACTCAGGAGCCTGGGCCTGGTGAGTCAACTTTTGAGTCGACTCAGGAGCCTGGGCCTGGTGAGTCAACTTTTGAGTCGACTCAGGAGCCTGGGCCTGGTGAGTCAACTTTTGAGTCGACTCAGGAGCCTGGGCCTGGTGAGTCAACTTTTGAGTCGACTCAGGAGCCTGGGCCTGGTGAGTCAACTTTTGAGTCGACTCACTCAGGAGCCTGGGCCTGGTGAGTCAACTTTTGAGTCGACTCAGGAGCCTGGGCCTGGTGAGTCAACTTTTGAGTCGACTCAGGAGCCTGGGCCTGGTGAGTCAACTTTTGAGTCGACTCAGGAGCCTGGGCCTGGTGAGTCAACTTTTGAGTCGACTCAGGAGCCTGGGCCTGGTGAGTCAACTTTTGAGTCGACTCAGGAGCCTGGGCCTGGTGAGTCAACTTTTGAGTCGACTCAGGAGCCTGGGCCTGGTGAGTCACCCCCCCTTATTGCCTCCTTCCTCCCTCCTCCACCTCCACCACCCACCCGTCCGCCATCTATGGGAAGATGGTGACCCACTCCTCCTCCAACCTTTTTCCTCACCCGCTTCAGTGATGGGAGTTTGGGACTGGTGAGTCACCCGGCCTTGTCGCCTCCTTCCTCCTTCCCTGAAGGGCCTGCTACGAGTTTTGGGTCGACTCAAAGCTCGACTCACTTTTGAGTCGACTGAAAACTTGTCTCCTCCATCCTCCTTCCCTGAAGGGCCTACTACATGCCGTTCTCCCCCCCCACCAAACTCGTGTTTCCTCCACCCCTTTTTGCCAACACCTGTTCACACATGCTTTCTTACACCAGGAAGAGACAGGGGGTGACCTCTTCTTCAGGTGGAGGGGAGCCGTTGCAAGCCACTCAGAGGCAGCCCCTGAAGGGGCTTCTTCATTCCGTCCCCTTTCAACTCTCCCCTATTCTTTCATTCTTTTCCACATGCGTTCCTACACCAGGAGGAGACACGGGGTGACCTCTGCTTCAGGCGGCGAGGTGCCGTTTCCAACCACACAGAGGCAGCTCCCAAAGCTGAGGCCACCTCTACCGAAGCTGCAGCCTCGGAAGATCAGGCTGGGCAGGAGCAGCGGGACGGGGGCGGGCGCGTTGTGCTAGACGGAGGGCAGCAGATCACCCTCCTTCCCGGCGGTCTCGCTCTCTCCGCCCCCTGCTGTGTGCCCCGCGGCCGAGCTTTCTTCTTTGAAACCATCCTGGCGGAACCAGAGGAGGGAGAGGGGGCAGGGGCTGGGGTGGAGAGGCAAGGAGGCGAGGGGGTGGGGGTTGGGTTGGCTGGAGCAGAGGGGTGGTGGCGGCGGCGAGTGGTTCGGACGTACGATCCGGATGGGTTGGTTGTTTCCAGCTCAGTGTTCGCTGAGAGGAAGCTGGGATGAGAGGAAGGTGCGGGGGTGCTAGACGGATGGCAGCAGATCACCCTCCTTCCCGGCGGTCTCGCTCTCTCTGCGCCCTGCTGTGTGCCCCGCGGGCGAAAATTCTTCTTTGAAACCATCCTGGCGGAACCAGAGGAGGGCAAGGGGGCGGGGGTGGGAGTTGGGGAGGAGGGGCAAGGAGGTGAGGGGATGGGAATTGGGGTTCCTGGAGTCGAGGGGTGGCAGCGGCGGCGAGTGGTTCGGACGTACGATCCGGATGGTTTGGTTGTATCCAGCTCAGTGTTTGCAGAGCGGAAGTTGGGGTGATGGCAGCATGGTGTCCTTTTGAGGCGCCTGAATGAGCGGAAGTTGGGGTGATACGGTATCAGATACGGTATTAGCTGAGAGAACAATGGGGTATTGGTAGATGAGATGGCATGGCTGGCAGTGATTTCTGAGTTGAGTTTGTTGGGAACAAATAGTCTTAAGCGCCTCTGTCGTGTCGAAACTCAAGACACAAGCGAAGCAGCTCAAATCGAAGCACCGCGAGTCAACCCTCGGAGATTAACGTAACCGCTGGAGGTTACGAGAAAGTCAAAAGGTCAGCGACCTTTGACCTGACGCAGCGCGACAGCAAGGACACACAACTGACTCAACATTTAGCAGTTGCCCGAGTCGCACTGTATCAAACCGCAACAGTAAAACAGTTACAATTATGCCTCTTCATATTCTCTGTACTCATATATATATTCCTGTATCTCTTTGCTTTAATCAACTTACTTTGCCCTCACATACTAGCGCAAGGTGGTTCTAGGAGTTTATTAAAACGCATCCGCTACTACATCATTTACTCAGACTTTAACTCTACTAAAGATCCTAGGGCGTTCAGCCTTACATGGTATGAGAGCAAGATAGAGTTAATATTCTCTTCAACACTTAATACATCAAGAAGACATGTCTACTAGAAAGGAGAGGAGCTCCTCCAACGGCTCTCCCGGTACTACCCCTACTCCACCTCCTGCCTCTGGCCTACTGACAGAGGAAGGGACAACAACTAGACCAGCAGCTGGGTCTACGGAAACACCCGCAAACCAAGGCGCGGGCTTCGATCCAAGTATGATGGAGAAATTCTTCTCCTTCATGTCCTTCTACGAGCAGCATCAGCAAGGAGTACCTGCGCAATCAAACAACAGCAACAACAACAACAACAACGTGACGCCCATGAGTCTCGATGGCTCATCCTACGCACGCGGGAATCAACATCAACAACCTACCTTCGCTCCGTACGAGCCCCAGCGCGGCTCCGTCAGCTTCATGCCGCAACCACAACCTGCACCGGGACAAGAAAGAGCACTGGACGCACTACAAGTTCAGTCGCAATTCGCACATGTTCTGAAACTACTAACGACAAAACCTTTCGACGGGAAGGATTTCTTCACCTGGTCGTTCGAATTCGAGCTGATGATGGAAGGAGCGCAGATCCTTGGCTTCTTCGACGGGTCCCTGCCATATCCAACAAACGGCACGCAGTATGAGAAGTAGCAGTACACCTATCAATCGATGATGGCGTACACAATACTACTGAGAAACATCACCCCGACTCAACAGCAGAACATAAGGACTTACCGAGGTTACGGTAACTCCGCGGAGCTCGCGTACAACCACTTGAAGAACCTGTATCAAGCAATAGACAGCGTAAACCAAAGCCGGTTAATGGCGCAGCTGACAACAATCGAAATGAAGCCAGCCGAGAAGGGCATGGCATATATCAGTCGCTGCCGCGAACTGCGCGACAAGCTTCTTCGATGTGGAGGATCGATTTCAGAAGACGCCTTTGTCACGGTTGTCATCGGTGGTCTTGGCCCTCACTAGCGCTCCACTCGCCCCATATTACGGGCACACGGGAGAATCTCCGAAGCAACACTCTGCGCCGAAATCCATGCTGAACAGCAGGACATGGACCTGCAAGAAGAACGACATAAGAAGAAAACGTCAATACCAGAGTTCGCGTTTCACACCCAGCGACGCTACAACAACAACAATCGGCAGCAACAACAATTGAAGCCAGTACCTCCGTTTTGCCATATCTGCAAGACTTCAGGGCATCCTCGTACGCACTGCCCGTATCGCCAGCAATCGACAACACCACAGCGACAACTTCGGCCTTCAAGCTCCCAAGTCACTTCAACGCAGGCAACTCCCACGACAAAGATTCAAACCTCAACGACTCCAACAGGACAACCTGCACAAGGAGCAAGAAACATCGTCAACTGCATGGCAAAGACAACAGATTCCTGCATCACCGAATCACCGCCGCACTACTCACCAGAAGAACGACTTGACGAAACCACACCTCGACGCGAGTCACTTCAGCCGAACCCGACATACGCCGCCATCACTCAAAGCGAGCCATCCGGAAGAGACACTTGGTTCTTGGACAGTTGCTGCGGACAACACATGTGCTCTTCAGGACGTTTTGTTCAACGTGAGCACCGACTTCAACGAGAAGTCGTCATCACCGTCGCCAATAATCAGAACCTGCGAACAAGACGACAAGGCATAGTACAGCTTCAGTCACGGGAGACGAACGTCGTACTACAAATGTCGAAAGTCCTAATAGCAGAGGGACTCGGCTACAACTTACAGAGCGTCAGTCAGCTGATGGCGAAAGGCATACACCTGGAAGCCGACAGCACCACCCAGGAGTTCAAACTGTACCACGGGAAGGGCGGCCTCTACATCGGAAAGGCGGTTCTGAAGAATAACGTCTTTGTCCTTGACTTCGTCCCAGACCTGGGCACCGCAGACAGCGACGCCATCGTGAACTTCGCCGACTGGACGCACCCTCCAGATCTTGATCCAGACTTCAGCCCGGAAGGCTTCTGGTACTCGCATATTATTCCTGAAGCAGAAAGAACACGCGCGTTAGCAACAATTCAACATCCAGCAGCAGCAGAGACAACATCGGCAGCAGCAGAAGCAGCAGAGACAACATCGGCAGCAGCAGAAGCAACAGAGACAACATCGGCAGCAGCAGAACCAGCAGAAACATCATCGGCAGTAGCAGAACCATCGTCAGCGACACCAGTTCTCGTTGACGAAGCACCACCAACACTCGCACAGCAGCTGAACCCAACTCAACGAGAAGTCCACAGAAGCGCAAACTTCATCGCCAGCTTCTACTCCAACTCCGATGCGTATCGACGCTCACCCGGACACCGCGCCTCCGAAGACATCTGGCACGCACGCATGGGACACCACTTCCCCGACAACGGTTACGTAACACCTGCGACAGTCAACACCAACGAAGCAGAACGGATAGGGCCGAATTTCATACCCGACCCAGAAGAGGGAGATGAAGCAGCTTATCCCGAGGACACAACTCTCCCCCGCTACTCACAGACTGGACTGCAGATTCTCGGCCTCGTCACCGCAGTCCACGGCAATGCTCTTTCTAAAGAGCCTGCGACAGTTCAGCAGGCTCTTGGGGGGAAACACTGGGAGAAATGGCGTGAAGCCATGGACAGAGAGTTAAAGGCGCTGGAGGAACGCAACACCTGGAAAGTCGTTCCCGCAAGCGTGGCAAGGAACAAGACCATCCTCGTCGAGAAATGGGTCTTCCGCATTAAAACAAAGGCAGACGGTACAATCGAGAAATTCAAAGCACGCTGGGTCGTGCGTGGATTCGACCAGGAACACGGACGGGACTTCACCGAGACATTCGCCCCGGTCAGCCGACATACCTCACTCCGAATTCTTCTCGCGATCGCCGCTATGAAGAAGAAGAAACTACGACAAATCGATGTCGCCAACGCGTTCCTCTACGCACCCGTCGACGCCAAAATCTTCGTCGAGCTCCCACACGGTATCCACGGGGAACCTAACGAAGTTTGCCAGCTACTGAAATCGCTCTACGGTATCAAACAAGCCCCGCGGCTGTGGCAACAGCACCTACACACTCGCCTCACTCGCATCGGGTTCCGCCAACTACCTCACGACCAAGGAATGTATCGACTCACCAAAAACGCCGACTATATCCTGCTGATCGTCTACGTCGACGACCTACTCTACATTGGCTCCACCGACGACGTCACCACCTGGTTCGAAGGGGAGCTGCAGAGGGATCTTACACTCACGGTCTCCTCTACCGTCACTCAGTACCTCGGACTCAACATCCGCGAAGAAGAGAGCGCGATCTATCTCAGCGCCGAAAAATATGTCGACACTATCTCCAAACGCTTCTCGCTCACACCTACCACTATCTCCACGCCATACCGCTACACGGCAGGGAACGACAAAGGAAGTCCCGCTCTACTCAAAACCGCCGGAATACGCGACTACCAGAGGAAGCTGGGCTGCCTTCTCTTCGCAGCCGTCACCTGCCGCCCAGATCTGTCCTACTCCGCAAGTCAACTTGCTGCCTATCTCAAAAGGCCCGAAACAGAACACCTGGCGGAACTCGACCGTGCTCTCCACTACTTCGTGAGCACCTCGACGATCGGCCTGACATACTACAAGAGTAAAACTACACTGACGAAACGAATCGGCTACGTCGATGCCGATCACGCCGGCGATTCAGACAACAGACGCTCCCGCACTGGCTACATCTATCGCCTCGAACCTATCGGACCTATCTCCTGGCAATCGAGCAAGCAGGAACTAATCGCTCTCTCCTCAGCTGAAGCAGAATATATCGCACCCAGCTCAGCCACCAAGGAAGGACTCTATCTTCGCGAGTTGCTGGAAGAAGCGAAGTTAGCCGAGTTACCCAACTTCAATCTGTTCTGCGACAACCAATCTACGATTCGCATCGCCAACAAAAGCGGATTCGCGAACAGAACGAAGCATATCGCCCTGCGATATTTCTTCGTGAAAGACGAGATCGAGAAAGGGAAACTCAAACTATCCTACTGTCCCACATCTGAGATGGCAGCTGACTACTTGACCAAGAAGCTCGGAAAACAGAAGTTCGAGTACTGCATGCTGCTGACTGGACAAAGCCACGTCACCATCAGCGACACTCT